TCGAGGACTGTCTATCTTTAATTGAAATAACCCTTCATGGAAGTTTTTTTTTTTTTTTTTTTTTCTGCAGCCCCGAATTTGGCCGGTATTGTAAACAAGCAGAATAAAAATTTTTGCTCTATCTCGCTTAGTCGTTTTCGTTTTGAAAAAAAAAAACACAATTCTTGCCCTGTTCCAGACAGAAATGTTAAGTTCTTTTCCAAAAATATTCGACGATTAACCACATGGCTATTGGAAAAACTTACAACTCTAATATATATCCATGGAACGTCAAACTGACAGTACTTTTTTAAGAATTCTTTTCCAAAAATATTCATCGATTAACAACATGGCTATCGGAGCTTACAACTCTAGTATATGCCAATGGAACGTCAAACTGAGAGGACTCTTTTAAGAATTTCCGTTGAAGTCTGAGATTGGGAAAGTAAGCTTTGTAACATTAAACAGAAAATACAAGGGTTGACTAAAAATTTTTAAGACTCTTTTTTGGAAAGTGGTCGGCGAGGAAAACATCTTTAAAAATACGGCAGATATATGACAGCAGCATGTTGAAATACTTAGCCGCGTTTAAGTATTTCAATGATACGGGTGTTTGAGAAAATGATAAAATTTAAGAGATTAGCAAAGCGCGATCTGACACGCCATTATACTGCGGCTACAGATATTCACATTGCGAATTTAAGGACAGCCAGTGAACGAGGGTTATTATACAAATTCCCTAAAAGCCCATTCGCCTAGAACCACGAAGAAACCGAAACATTCATTGCCTGAAACCTTTTTTTTTTTTTTTTTTTTTTTTTTCCCCCTAGGAACAGTGGTTTTTGACCGAGAACAATGTCCAAACACATGACATTACTATGGCGTTGGCAACATTGTCTGAAATAAATTCTATGCGGCTAGACCTTAGCTCCAGATTATTTCTAAGCATTCTTAATATTAAAAAGACAGCTGCGAGGGAAAGGCTGCAAGATATTTCTCTCGCCTTCTTAGCATGCCTTCGTGGTGTAATGGCCAGCACATTCGGCGCGTATTTGAGAGGTCCGAGGTTCGAGTTTCGGCGAGGGCATTGCACATTTCTTGAATTTCCTGATTAAAAAAAATTCTCCATGACTCTACAGTGGCGGCCGAACTAAAAAAGGTGATGGATGATGATTCTGCACCACGAGCATTTGGCGATTGAGTCTCCTAATTCCCAGTCGCTTTTTAAAAATGGGGATTACATAAGGTATTTTTCCTTCCTTCTTTGCATGTCTTCGTGGTGTAATGGTCAGCACACTCGGGGCATATTCGAGATGGCCGAGGTTGGAGTCCCGACAAAGGCATTGCTCATTTTTCATCTCTCCAGCTTTCAAAAAATACCTAATGTCTCTACAAGGTTTTCTCTAAATAAAAAGTGAAAAACGCCAAGGTCAGAGTACTAAAAGGGATGCCAGAAAACAAATTTATTTTCTGTTATAGATTCATTTATAAAACGCCATAAAAATGTAATTCAATGCAAAGGATTTTACTTTGGAAAAATACAATAAAAGGTCCACAGTGACGTCTGATTCTGAATAAAAGAATCAGTCCACATATTTAGGCTATTTGTTATCGACTGCCTTGTCACTTGGCAAAACGCACAGATAATGCTGTTGTTGTTTAGTCCATGAATTTCATGAAAGAAAGGTTGTTAGAGCCTCAAGGAGGTTAGACTTCTATTTCCACCCTAATTTTGAGGAAAAACTCACCGGAGCGATAGTCTGAGAGTCTCCCACCCCTCTCCCATACCACCAAACCACACGAGAATACTTTCGGTTCGCCATATATTTAGCGTATCCATGCCGCAAAGACACTATACATTTACAAACATCCGTTCTTTAGGATTCGAACCCGGGCCTTTGGTAGCGCAGTAGGCTTCCCTAATCACTATACCGTCTGGGCGACGCACAGGTAATCACTGGAGGAATAGTACCATATACAGTAAAAGTTTAATAATCCAGCAAGTTTAGGACTTCGTTAATGCCAAATTATCAAATATGTTGGAATGCAAAACTTTAAACGAAGCTAAACATATAGTATAGTAATTTTACAAGTATATTTAATGATTGAATATATACTAGAATGTAAACTATGTACTATTTATAATATTTAATCAATTTTTGTTTTAGAATGTACTATATTGCTCTTGCATGGAGTCTTTTCAAAATTCAAAATATCGTTCAAGAGAATGTGATTACTTCTTCACTGCCTTATGGTTTTCAACAACTGTTAATTTTACACATGCATCAATTTCCCGCAGCCACTCAGCAAACTGCCTTCTAAATTCTTTCAGAAAATGTGACTAGAGATGTTTTCGATGGAAACTTTTTTTATACGGAGTTCAGCAAGTTCACAGCGATTAATCACATGATCATCAATACCTACGGCTTTCTTTGCTACATAATCTACCGCCATAATGATGCTAGCCTGAAGAAAATGCCGCACATTTATGATTATTTCCGAATAATACGCTAATAACCTCAATCAGACACTACCCGTATTGAATAAATATGTGGCGGGTTACCGAGCGTGCTGAACCATTGGGTGCTGGAGTATCGGACTTGTAATTCGGCTTCACGGCGGCAGTACCATCCGAAGTGCTCCATGAACCTAATTACGATACAGATTATTCAGCTACTGCCATGATTGTAATATTTTATCTATTCTTTAACTTACACTAATGTTATATAAATGCTAACTACATTTGGAAAATAAATCATAGAACTTATGTATCCTTACATGCAAAATTTGTCTTTTTACTTACACAGATACAAAATCGAAAAACATAACTGCGGCTCGGAAAGTATGATAGCTATCGGAGGTTAGCTACGCAGTTCCGAATCCTGGGGAAGGCAAGGACGTCTGTAATTCTAACACTTTAGTGGAACAAATAAAAACCTTCGAGTCCTCTTGGTAAGTTGGTAGGCGAAGAGAGGTATGAGACACTCGGATTCAAAATCTAGCAAAGTTCTCGATCAACATCAGGATGAACCTTAGAAAAATAGCCACAAATACCTCTTTGCTTTGTATAAATATAATAATCTGAATCCTTAAGCAAAGTTATGGGTCTCTGAAATTTGATGCACTCTAAGATTAAACGCATATAAAAGTTGTGTTATCAAATTTGACTGCAATTTGACATTGCAAAGTAAAATTTACTATCAAACAGTTGTAAAGGCATCACGTTTATTTCGGATCAGGAGAAGTAAGCTAATCCATTATGCTCTCATCGGAGCTCAAACGCCAGACCCTCCGATTGCCAGCCGGACGTGCTTTCTAGTTATACTACGAATACATGAGCTAAGGAGGAAGAAATTACTTTACATTCTCCCCCACTTAAACGGTGCATAAAGAAGAGTAACTGAGAAATCCCTGATGGGGACGACTTATGGTCGATAGCATTTTAGCACGGATAGCCCTATAGAGTCGTCGTAAAATTTTACACAACCAGGAAATATGGAAAATTAAAAATTACCCTCACCGGAATCCGAACTCTAGAGCATGCGATTGCTAGCAGGAAGTAGGTTCCAATAACACCACGAAGGCACGCAGTAAGGAGGGAGAAAATACATTACACAGTTTTTGAAGGGGAGGGGGTCAACCTTTTTTGACAAGACTGGTAAAACTTACAGTTGGATATTGGCACCATTTTACAAGTATGCTATATCAAGGGGAAGATAAGATGATATATTTCTCTCTCTTTGCATTTTTGACTGCTGCTTCAATAGATATAATATTTATTTACATCTGAAATCTAGAACAGCATAGAATCACGCATAGAATGCACCCCAATACACAGCATTTCTTACATAAACGATTCTGTCCATGAGAACTTCCTGCAATGTTTTTTTATTGAGATGAGTATACAAAAAAATTAACATTCCAATTATCAAGTTTCGCATCACTTTTTCACCACGTGACAGAGTATTATTTTAAACATACGCTCTTTTGACTTATGTGCGCTTTCTGGTCTCTGGTCCCAATTTTGCTATTTTATGAGCAGAAAAAAGGGGAAAAATTAACGTTAAAGAAAAATGTTTTAGAAATAGCATCGATACATAGTGTAACGCAAATTGGTTACTCTGCTTGGTTCGCAGACAAGCAGCAAGTATTATGAAACACCAATAGAATAAAAACAATGTAAATAGATGGAACAAAAGAGAGAGAACTCAATGGCGTCGCTTATGATTTGCATAAATGTATTGTTAGGATCATTAGGCCACTTTGAAGCAGGAGTACGTGAAACATGGGCAATGCCTTCGCCGGGAATCGAATCTGAACCTCTCAAATACCCGCCGAGTGTGCTAATCGTTACACCCCGAAATGCATGCATAAAGGAGGGAGAAAATGCCTTGTGCATGTTCACGCTTTTGTAAATGAACTGATTACATAAAGATGCTGTCACTCCCTGTTTGATAATCTAACCACTAAAGAAAATTAGAAATTTACTTGCACATCATAAAGGTGTCAGGGTGAAAATTCGGTTTAAATATACTTTTCGAAAAGTTAATACAAACTTTACGTCAAGACATCACTGGGCACCTTGTTATTATCCAATTACCTAATTAATTTTTCATTGAATTGTGCAGAACGTTTTCCATTAACTTTAATTTTGACCACTCCTTGCTTTTCACATAATTGTAATCCCGATTATTGACATTATGACTTTAACATAACTAATAACGTCTAAAATACAGTTGTTACTGTTCATGACTACTCTTGCTTACAATCAAGTAGAGTTTCTTCTGAACGGAACTCAACAGACAACCCGAAGAAAGCGCAAGTTTCTTTTCACAACAAAACCCCAATCACCCCTTTTGCACTTGTTATTATGCTGGGTTCATCACAGTATTTGATTTCAAGATTTAGACATGTTGAATGACAGATTTCGGAATACATTCAATGTCCTTTTGTTCATGCATGAAATAGAATTGGGAAATAATATAATAATAATAATAATAATAATAATAATAATAACTCACCCGTGTTCGAGAGGCCTGCCATCTGGCATGGTATGGGGTGGCATGGGATGTGGTGGCGGCCCCTGCGGATGGTGGGGTGGCATCTGAGCGGGCATGGGGCCGTGGTGGTGGTGGTGGATGGGGGGCCCTCCCTTCCAGCCGGGCGGCTCCTCCAGGGCGGGGGGTGGCTCTCGGGGGCCCGCCCCTCCTCCGCCGGGGAACGCGGTCCAGGTTCGGTTCACGGCTGCCGGGGCACGGGCCCTCCCCGGGAGGGGTCCCCTCCTTCTGCCGATGAGTCCTCAGCCGGGAACCGGGAGTCGCATCTCTGCTTAGCCAGGGCAACGATTAGCCTATAAATAGATAGTAACAACACAATTATTAAATTTGCACATTTGCGTGATGGATAAAATTTTAAACTAACTTAAAATGAAAATCATTGGCCGTAAAACAAATTCGAAATGCTACAGCTAATAATCAGAATTCAATGAATTCAGTTCAAGACGACAATTAAATCCCTGTATAATGTAAAGAAAAGAAGAGAAGGAAGGGAAAAATGGATAAAAGTTATGGATTTATGCATCGACTATCAAACTTTTCATCATTCACAAACGCTCAGGCATTGGAAACGTTATATCGTTATTAAATGTCTTTACGCTTCAATTTGCTAAATGAAGACATTTACTTCAATGATAAATATAGCAATTAAGATTACTAATTATTAATAAAATTGTCACTCTTTTTCATGCGACTTAGACAGTTTTCAATCTTTGTTTTAATGCTTATTTACAAAGAAAGCTAATTTTGAGGTCATGCACACTGTTCTTTCCAAATGTTTTTATAATTTCATGGCACCAAAATTTACTCGAATACAACGTTTTCAGACAAGGCTCATTATGTGCAATGCTTTTGTAATTTGCTTTAGTAGGGACATATAAGTACTGTTGATACTATATAACGCAATATAAAATGCAGATGTCATAACGACAGACCTTTCACCACAATCTCGATCTTAAGACGACCACGTCTGATAGTAAGCAATATTTCTCAGAACATAATTAAATAATGATATTTGAGCAGCAATAACAGCCACGTTCCCTAAGGTAACAAACTCCACAGAAGACCCAAATCGTCTAGAATCGCAGAGAGTTGCATCATGACGGCTTCATGGTAGTTACACGTTACACATATTACGTTATTTACTTCTTTCTTTCTTTTTTTTTTTTAAATTTTACTCCTACGTTATTTGAAGTAGTGTGTACTTCTTTTGAAATCTTATATTTTACAGAGTTTATGCACATACATTATCACACCATTAACTTTAAAGAAATTTGATCATCAAAAGTCATTTAAATGATTCTACTTAAGTCCATTTTGACCTTTTATTTTAACCGAATTCATAATGCCAAAAGGCCCACCAGCGGCCTAGTGGTAAAATCGCTGAACACTGGTAGTTCGGTCCGAGGTTCGAATCCCGCGGACGTGCTGGCTGCATGGGCGTTTTCGTGGTTTTCCCCATATGTAACGTGTATACGAGACAGTTTCCCTTAGAAAGTCTTCCACGAAGGCATCCCTCCTCTTAGGAAGATAGGCCTCGAGGCTTTGCCATAATCACACACACACATAATGGCAAAAAAACCGCGCTCGAAATATTGACTGCTTGAAATGTCTCCATAATATCATATAGAATAAATACATTATTATGAATTTTGTATATATGGAAATAGTTTTAGTGAAATTGTAGTATCTTGTATAAAGTAACAAGAAATGCTTGAAAGAGCGGAGCGAAAAATCAAGCTGGCAGGGGCAAGTCTATTTAACATTCAGGTAAATGGCTTTCTCATTACCGAGCTGGTGATGGTCTTGGTGAATAATTTCGTCGCCAAAGTTGGCAAGAAATCGCCAAAAGTCGCTAAACTTGTCGACCATTTGGCGACATTTCTGTTCGCCTCTATATAACTATAATTAATCCTTATATTTTTAACCGTATTCGGCTCTTTAACCGTTGATGCTTTCCAGTAATTTCGAGATATTGATGGTACTACAGGAATATCAGGGGCCGGGAGAAAACTATATAAACTTGGAGAGAGCATCTCTTTCTCCTAGACCTCAGTGCCTCCCCTCTCACCGGTCAACGACCTCCAACTTTCAGGTGCCACCACGGCAAACTTATCAGAAGCCGGTAAAGTCACATTTACTCGTGACACACCGGCATGGACTGGACTGCACAGTTCTCAGTTGTTTAATTCAAAGTTGAATGCAGAGTATTGAGAGATCTCCGTGCGAGCTTCGCTGTTTAGATGCACTTTGCATTGCGTTGAGTTTAACATTCTTAGTAGTTTAAAGTTATATCTGCTGACTGCGCTCTGTCATACTGAGCAGAGCTGTGAGAATACTTGTGTGCCAGAACTGTAAAGTGTTTCTTTTCGAAAAATAAATTTTATCAAGCTATCATCGGTTCTGTGTAAATTCACTTCATTAACAAACTTTTAGTTTGCAAGAACGAAATTTAAAGTATGTCTGAGTACAATCCAACTTCTTTGGTTGCTATATACTATAATTTCGGCATTTTCTTTTTCTCTTCATATTTTGAAATAACATAGTTTTTCTACTTTATTTAATAAACTGCAGTTGTCCTCCTTTCAAAGTATCTCATATTAAGTTTCCTTGAAATCAGACCTTTTATTTCTGACTGCATTTTAATACCATTATGTTCACAGCAACCAAATATTTTCTCATAGTTTCTCATAGTCTCATTCATCTTAAAGACACTTATCCAAATGACCATATACACCTCTGAATACACGAATGTCCATCGCAGGGCAATATAATTTTGCTTTTTAAAATATATTTCTTTCACATTTTCATCACGGAATAAAATTACCCGAAGGTACTGGTTTCTTAAATTATTTATCTTATTATTACTGTTTTTATATTTTCGCATTAATTAATCTTCAATTAATCGAAAAGCAACATAAATGAGTTTTTTTATATGTTACACTCCAAATGTGTACGTGGAAAGTAAAATCACCTATACAATTTCACTTATATAACTAATCACCTATAGGAAAAATACAGTTTAAAAGGATAGTTGTTGTTTTATAACCATATAAGACATGGTTTGTTAAAGCAAATGAGAATTGATATGATTCAATAACGTTATAGATAAGACCTTATACCGTCAATAAAATGCTTTCAATAATATGAACTTTGCTGAAAACGTCATTTCCAATTTCGGTTTCAAAATAATCAGCAGCAAAACTTTGTAATTATATTGCTGTTGATATTAAATTAAAAGGTATAAAAATTAGAGTACTGTATCTTTACTTTGTGGTATCTTAGGAAAAGCTGGTGCGAAAAACCTTTACCGCAGAAACTATTTAAACAACGGAGATAACAGCAAGCATAATTCAAAGAAACCAATTCGCAGTATGCAAAGACTGGACACTCTCGTTTCTGTCAGACACTTGTATCGGAAATCGGATATGAGGTGAGGGTTGATTAAAAAATATCAGCTGAAAATCTGGCGTTCAGTTTTTAATATTCCGTTGTCTTTATATTGAGAAATAAATGTAAACTATCTTATGTCGATGACTATATCTTGATGCTACTCTACTAATCATCGTTGACTGAAATCCAGCAGTTCCACCAACAAAATTCACTCTAGTAAACAGATAAAAGATAGTCACAGAAATACAGTGCCCGATATCGGAAAGGTCAAACGAATGTCTGTAAGATAAAGTCTTTCTGTCTGTTAACTACCTAATCCCCACGGAACTCACTTATTTGTGAAATTCAAGCAGACCTAGGAAAAGGGGTGTGATGAAGATTTTCGGATAAAACTTCAACGAATTAGCAACGGAAAAACTTGATCCTTTTCAAAATGCAAGTTGGAAACTCTCTAAGACAACCGCTTTCGATTCCAGACAACTTTGACCTTTTTTAAGAGGAGGACCTTTTTTAAGATTATGAAAGGTTTCATTATATTATCCATTGAACGAAAGGTCTCGAGATTTTCAGACACGTCAAGTTGCTCTTTCTTAAAGTGTTCACTTTTTCTCATTCTTCACAAAGAAGACAGTCTTATGTGTATGAAACACCAAGATCTCCAGTCTCAATAGTATCTGTCGCACATATTTCAGCATGTAAATATCAGAGAAATCTCCCGATGATGACCACGTACGATTCCAGACGATTTTGATCTTCTACGGAAATGAAGAACGAAGAAAACGTGCATATCGATGATGCTTAGTGATGCTTATTTATGCTATGAGACATACTGGGCATTTTCAGAGGTACTATCGTTTAACTGAATGGTCACTATCACAGGTTTCACAGCATTATTTATCAATCAACTGAATACTGAAACAATCACAATTCATCTTAAAAACAGTTAAATTAAGATTATCCGCCGAGATATTTTGGTTCTGCAAAAAGGGAGATCCGTGTCAAATTCTTTCAAAACATCACAGTTTTTACCAAAAGCAGTGCTACATTATAAACCGTTACTTTAGAACATACACTTCAGGGTCATTTTTTTCGGCCTGGCTTGCCTTGCAACCAAAGTAACGACAGCTGCAGCATAATAAGCAAGTATCTTAATTGTTTTTTCCCACTTCATTTCGGTTAACTGTGTTTCACTTAGCGGAGAACACGCGAATGAAGGCTGGCTGGAACTACAGTCTCATATGAGGTGGGGAAATAAGTGCTGTGCAGTGAAGACAATACTTGTTATGATTGCAAATGGAGGAAGATTGAAAAGGAATCAAAACATATATTTTAAAGTAACAAAATATGAGACGGAATTTTGCTTAGTTTTTAAAATTCTTGTTTTTTTACAATCTTTTTTTTCTTTTTACTTACTTCGAGCTTCGCCCTTAGGCACTACACGGAAAGGCAAGAATGTCCCGTGGAGGCCTTTTTAACAGAACCTGAGTCGTACCCGCGTTACATATGGAGGAAACCACGAAAGCGCCCATGCAGACAGCCCGTTCGCCGGGACTCGAACTACCAGCATTCAGCGGCTTTTACCGCTCCGTTGGTGGGTCTAAAGTTCTACTTAACATGCTTTTCCTTCACCTATTCATTACTAAGAGGTTGCTTAGCTTTAGACCAAGGAGGGTGGTAATTCTTCCCTGGAGGATTTTCATAGTTTCAGAGGGGATGCAGTTAGTCTTTCATTTGACAGTTAGTTTTTAGCTTTCATTTAATATAAAAAAGTACTTTTATTCTCAAGTTTGGTATTTACTAACAATTTTTTACACTATGTGTTGTTTAATCCATAACATGTTAAAAAAATCTTCTAAATCTAAATAAATGTACACATGCATTTTTCAAGTTTTAGGAAGGAGGA